GGTTGGGTAAATGTGTAAGCTAGATTTATGCCTATTTTTTTTCACATCTTCATGGACACAACAATGATTTCCCTTGAGTGGTAATATGTTTCCTTGTAATTATGTATGGTTTGCAAAAATGGGAACTGCTGTGTCTGTGTATAGAAGCAGTATATGAGAGAAGTATATGAATATATGAGAGAAGCAGAAGTGTATGCGCGTTGTGCACACGCTACATTATGCCCAAGCATGCGCCCTTAAAATAGCATCTGAATAACACGCCACTGACTTTAGACTAGGTTTTTGACTTTAGACTGGTGGAATTGTTTTCTGGAACTGCAAAATAGCACAAGGGAACGTTTGCGCCGGGACACGCCTCCTCTTTTCACTGAACCACTCCCTGGAGCGCAAGTTCATTCCCTAATTTACCGCTGAAATAGGAATGATATATGCGTCGGTGTATAAAGTAATTTGCACTGGGTTCAAGATAGGGCCCGGTCTGTCAATGTCAATTACCAAAGGCAACAGTGAGAGGAAGAACTGGACTGAATATATTTGAGTTTGTGAACATGTCTGTCAGCCTAACAGCTCTCTGGAATCTTTGGATTTTAATTGGTTAATTGCAACATTCTGGCATCAAATATATTCTGGAAAGACCTGTAAACTGTTTTGACCGTCGTCCTTGGCAATCAAATTTCTACATTTGTTAGTTTCATGTCTCTCATAGCTCTCCGCAGTCACACAATCCAATCATTTCAGCTTTTCATTTCCATGTGCTCTTATTTATGTATTGGGAAAGTAGCATATTAAGTAATAAGTGAGATATGCAGGAGCTCATTATCACAAAATAAAACCTTCAAAGGAATATACAAGACCTCATTAACCTGTGTATGATGACAGCACATTATTCTGTACTTTTATGTCCTGTAGAAGTATTTTATACAAATAAAAAATACATTTACTAACTGGTCATTTTTTTATTAACAACAACAAAAAAAGCTTTAAATTCTGCCCTCAAGTAGCATTAAACATTTTTTATAATAAATAAAACATTTATTTGTTATTATATTTATTATAAATGTAATATTTTTTATATTTTTTTAAATACATTACAATTTGTATTCAGCAAGCACACATTATAATGTTTCGAAATGACAGGAAAGACATTTATTGTTACAAAATGTCTCTGTTTCAAAGAAATGCTGTTTATTAAACTTTCTACTCAGCGAATAATCGTGAAAAAGTGTCCTGGTTTAGACAAAAAAATGTAAATCAGCAAAACTATACAACATCGATAGTAATAATAGCAGCAAATCAGCACATTAGAATGATTTATGAAGGATCATAATGACACTGAAAATTCAGATTTGCCATTAGCGTTGTCACATGCGTTGACATTCCATAGACATAATGACTTTTACTTTGTACAAACGGTATATTCTATATGCCTTTAAACCTATTCATCACAGAAAACTTTCTGCATTTTTACATTTAAAAAAAAAAAAAACATAATTCAGTATATAATTCAGAGAAAGAGAGAGAGAAAGTAATGCCCATATCTTGATCTCACTTCACCGCTTACAGGTGTCAGTTCACCATCCAAAGCTAATGAATATGACAAACCATGTTTGCCCGCACCATCAATATCCATAAGACCCTCTAACATCAACACGCTCTATTCACAAACATCATCTGCACATGGACGTCCTAACTGCACGTAATCTGGCCCTCCACATGCAAACAAATTCCACACAGCAGCTTCACTCAAAACAAATTAACCAGTAACAAATACAGTGCAGACTGCTTCATCACACATGCCACAGCTGCACCTCCACACTTCTGGAGAAACATTACTCAGCCGCTGTGCACACATCATATAGTCCATCAATTATGCCATCATAATCAAAAACAATGTGTTGCTTAGCACCATGCTTTTTTTTTTTTTTTTTTTTTTTGCCAGTCTTGATTAAAATCACCCCGTGGAGGATTCGATTTGGTTGGAGGGATTAAATGTGAATGATTGTGATTGTACAAGAGTAAAGCCAAGGCAAGTTGTAAACTCTGAAAGAAAGAAAATAAAACATTAAAAAGGAAACTCTGGTAAGGTCATTCCGTACTTAAAAGGGAATTTATGATTACAAGCCTTGCATGGTGCAAAGTTCATTTTTTCCCCATCTTTTTACATTCTCCAGAGATGCTTTTGAAGACTGTCAAAAAAAAAAAAAAAAAAAAAAAAAAACTTTTGTGAATGATTTAAAGAGATACTCCACTTTTTTTGGAAATAGGCTCATTTTACAACTCCCCCAGAGTTAAACAGTTGGGTTTTACCGTTTTCGAATCAATTCAGCCGATTTTCTGATATTTAGAAGAATATTGGTTACTGATATTCTTCTAAATATCAGAAAATCGTCTGAATGAATTCGTAAAACTCAAATGTTTAACCCTGAGGGAGTTGTAAAATTAGCCTATTTCCAAAAAAAAAAATAATTAAATAAATAAATAAATAAAATAAATAAAAAATAAAAAGTGGAGTATCCCTTTAAGATGAGAAATGGGCTTATCTCACCAAAACTGATTGTACTGTAGAGTCACAATGTTCAAACTAAAGACTGGTTGAAACTATCTTGACTATCTTTTATTAGGATATTCAGTTTTAGGGCCTCAAAGATACATTTTTACAGCTCAAAAATATATATTTAACATTTAAGTTTTTTCTAGTCTCACTCCAGTTTTCAGAGTCCAATATAGTGAACTGAATTTGAGCTTCTTCTTCTTCTTCTTCTTCTTCTTCTTCTTCTTCTTCTTCTTCTTCTTCTTCTTCTTCTTCTTCTTCTTCTTCTTCTTATTATTATTATTATTATTATCAATGTTAAAAAAAAAATTAAAAATATATATTTTTTTCAGGTTTCAATGAAAAGAAAGTTTAAAAGCGCAGCATTAATTTGAAATAGAAATATTTTGCAAGATTAAACATGTCTTTACTGTTGCATCTGATCAATTTAATGCATTGCTAAATTAGAGTATACATTTCTTTCAAGACAATCTTATTGACCCCAAACATGATTATTTTTCACGTTTAATTATTAATGAAATGGATACCATACATTTTTGAAGGTAATGTTTCAAGGTAGAGTGCCAGTGAAGACATGAAAATATTAAGATCAATTCTCTGCTGAATCAATTTAACTAATCATGAAAATTGAATCTGCATCAGAGAGTGATGCTTGCTATGAATAAATGAATTCACAGAAGTAGAAGAAGAAGAAGAAAAAAAGCAAACTTCACCATTTTCCCTTGATTATGCACAGGCACAGTGTGATAACTACAGTGAGCTGGAAGCAATTAGAAATCACTCTATTGTGGTTCAGGAGACAACAATAAAAGAGCTGGCAAGAGAAAGATCGTAATCGTGAAAATCTGAAGCTGGGAATTGTTTAAATGAACAGATAATTGCATGAGGAGGAAAAAAAACAGTGACAACACAAACAGATCTATATTAAAAAAAACAATGAGAGAGAGAGAAAAAAAAAATAATACACCTATTAAGTCCAGAGCCTCTAATTTTCTCTTCAATACAGTACAGTATCAATCTCCCCCTGCAAGCGTCTGATAAAGAATAAAGAGCACTGAATGTTGCTTCACTCCACTGGCTTGAGCTTTGGGAGTGATTTTGCCATGTTTGGGTTTATAATAGCGATAAAAATCTCAATACCTCGCCTCTTTTTAATCACACCAGCGCATTCATCTCGGAATGATTTGGAATGTAATTTGGTGGGAGAGGTAATCAGGTTTTTGCGTTAATTGACTTTGCGGCCTGCAGATAGAAGGGTTTTTCTGCTCCAGTAATTACCACCCACCATTCGCCTGTCTAGTCTGGTCTTCCTGTTGCCGTGCCGACCACCTCCCGGTGTGTATTAATGATGCGTGAGGTGTGCTGTGCCAGCGGGGAGTTACACAAAAGGAAATACTCGGGACACACAAGATTCTAGCGTTCACGCACAGGTACATCCTGCCTACGAGTCGGCGCAGCACACGCAGCTACCATCACAATCAACAGCTTTATCCATTAAAACTGCAACATTTTAGTTTTGTTGTACCGTGTCCCTCACTCTCAAAGTGTGTAGTCGGTGACCAAAGTTGCCGAAGGTCAGTCTCTTTTGCTCACTGTCGAAGAACAACAGTAACTCGCTGTCAGTGTGAATGTATCCGCGTCTCACTGCCTTGCGTCTCTCTCTTTGTCCTCTTCTCTCTCACCTTATTTGTGATGCTTCAAAAACTCTTTTGTATCGCTCCTCCCCGATATAAACAGACTCCGAGCGCAGATGTTTTCCGACACAAATACAAACAGAGCGTGAACTAGAATACATGCGCGACTCTCAAAGCTTCTAAATAAACAGGCACAAAGACACAACCAAAGCATATCAACAGACAGAATTACATCACCAAGCGCTCACGATGCAGTCAAAACAGAAAATAAACTCGTTTGTTTGACATTTTCTTGTACATCTATAGGCTGAGAGATGCTTAATACTAAGTTCTACCAGTAGGAGGAGCAGTTTTAAAAAACCTAGTGCCTGAACTCACTTTATAAGAACCTGCTGAGTGAAATAGGACGCAGCATGTGTGTCATTTCATAGAGATCCCTAAGGAAAAGCAACATTGTTTCATTTTTTGAAGACAACGCGGTAATAAAGCTCCTGTTGTGGCGTCTGACAGGTTTTTTGGATGGGAATGGCATCACAAGACAATCAAATCAGATTGAAGCCTTGTGTTTTGAAAACTGGGAATTGGGTGTCGAATTCTCACTTTGACGCTTAGAATGATACGCTTATTTCATCCCGCTAATTCAATTAACGTAGCGACAAAGACTTCATCATGGGGACTCATTATGATTGCAAATACAAACATTGATGTAAATATGCTCTCAACTGGGTTGAATAGGTAATAAGAGATCTATGTCAGTGAGAATCATGTGACAGACATTGTGTGTGTGTGGAGGGGGTTGCAGATGTATGACTTACGGGTTTCCGTAGTCCCAGACCACACACTGAGGATCTGTTGTGCCCTTAGAGGAGAAAGAAAGACAGAAAGAGTTGAGAATGACTCCAAAACAAGACAATAAGTGTTTGCATGGTAGTACATTAGAGAGAAAAAATTTCTTAATTGGTGTATGCATTTGTGTCTGTGAAGGGAGGTTGAACATATGTGATTTATATTAACATTTCAAACCAGGTGGCATCTGTAAACAAACAATGATTGGCGTTAATTTAAAACATGTTGTTACAGCCTGAAACCAAACGAACAATGTGTTTGTATCATATTTCTGACTCAGTGATTTGCTATATAATACAAATATGATTTTATGTGCTAAATGATAGGGAACCTGCATCCACATACAGATCCAGTTCCAGTGTGCGGACAATGTTTTTTGGAGAAAAAAAAAAAAAAAAAACAGAATGATTGAATATTATTAAATATTAAAATAAACCAATTTTACAATTTGAATATACAGTATATTCAGCATTTAAAGAAAATGACTTAGAGTCATAAAACTTAACTGTAAAGTGTTCATAGGTGCCAAGTATAATGCACACGTTTTATATTTTTCATATTTCTTAAAATAAACTGTCAAACCATGTGTAAAAATTGCTGTATTTCACTATAGTTGGGGATAATACACCAGAATATGCCAGAATTTAAAGCTCAACACATTTGAAGATAGTGACTTAAACTAGAAAGACCAAAGAAATTGAGTTTGAAAGGTGACGCCCACTATTGTTAAGAGATGAGCCGACAACCGTAACCCTGAAAATGTGTGAAGCGTGTTAAATTTAGAGGCAAGCAAGTATACTATATATAACACTGTCAGACAAAAAATGTAATAATAATAATGATGATTTCTCTTGAGCCCTGAGTGCAAACTCCAGATGAATAATTTAAAAAAAAAAAAGAAAAAAATCTTATTCTTAATTCATTGCTTCGGTAGAGTCTGGGCTAATGCTCAGTGTGAGGCTCTAATCAGTGTTCAGTGATGCATATCTGGATGAACAACTCATTATCGATTCTTCAGCGAATCAACCAGTATAATTGACTAATAGTTATGCCTCCTATGTAGTATGAAGGAGGAATTTCATTTGGGATCTTATGACCTGAACAATGATCATCTCTAACCTTCAGGGGTATAACAGACAACCATGGGAGCTGCCAAAATCAGAGAGCAATTATGTTTTCTTATGTGGTCTCAGAGAGGTTGTGTACTTCAAATGAGGGCAGGCACAGCGAGATACAGACACTCGCACCGTTTTAAACATTTCATTGCCCCCAAGTGGCTAAGCAACGCCACACACTGGATTGGATCAGAGTTGACAGCTGACACAGAGTAATACGAGTTTGAATGACAGATGCTTGACAGTCACAGTCCCCTCCACAGAGTCCAGAAACATTCCCAAAGCTGTTCGATCAGTATAATACGTCTAGTAAGGCAAGTTTTAAGTGTCCAGGATGGACTCGGTCATTACACTGGCTCGAATCCACTTATCAGACACACTAACAGATGGCTTTCCTACTCACATTCATAATGAGAACAAATGAACTGAGCATTTGTGTCATCGCATGTGGTAAACAAAATATGCAACCAAATAGATCATTTCATTTTGACTCTCAAATGACTGACGGTAGGATGACATCGGCGATCAATAACTGGCACAGACGTCCGCACACACATGTTACGACTGATGAATGGGGAGGAGCGCCGGCCAATGACACATCTGGAGTGCACCGCCTCCATTTCCCAGCATCCCCTGGGGGTCAGGATGGCTGTCTCAGAGCAGCTGTCCACATAGAGAGGACAAGTCCCAACACACAGGCTCAGCCCCCCCCACCCCTCATGTTCCAAACATCTGTGTCCAGGGCACCGCTGCACAATCTGGACACCGACCCCCGCCAATGTCTTTCGTTCACAGATGGGGCTCACCCAGGACCACGGCTGAGCGGGGCATGACCTCGGTGTGACGAGGGACACGTGCATAGAAAACAATCATGGATCACGTCCACACCAGCATTCCCAAAACTCACGTTTCTATGAAGGAGATAGCAGGTAAAGGTTGCCATGGCGACTCGGGGAACATCACAAAGGCAGTGTTCTCTGCACAGCTGATATCTGCACTGATGCACAATCCAATCTGCAGGTTTCACGTTCTGCATAAATCCTTGCGGGTATATTTTTATTACATTTCCCCCCCCTTCTATAAAATATTCAGAGCCTTTGTGTAGTACTTTATGTCCTGTGTTTTTAGGGGTTGTTAAAGATGTACTATTCATAACAGAGGATTATTAATAGAGGGTCATCGCAACTGTATTTCGTGCCTGATTAAGATGTTCAAATAGACTCACTGTGCTAGAAGTGTGTGCACACACCAATGCTCAGGCAATTTGTCAGCATGAGTGAACGTGCATTGGTTATAGGTCATAAGAACTGGTACAGTTAGACCGAAAGGGGAAATATGAAAACATATAAAAAGACAGAAGTTTTTTGTATGTTTATCAACCCCAAACTTAAGAACGCCAATGATACAGTATGGTTTTTGCAATATAATGATGCAATATGTAATAGTTTGTAGAGGTGGGGCCTCTATGTTAAAATATGAATAAAAAGCATAAGGTACTTACATTGAGCAAAGGTGCAAGTTCCACTGATACCAAGGGCTCGGTTGGTTTCGGTAAGGGACGTACCGTCACTGTCAGAATCTTTGAGCTGATCACGAATGGATCTCTGGAAGGAAGGAACATAGAGCGAGTTAGATCCAAAATCGACTTCACGCTCCATTTCACATCTATCGATAGGTATCAGGGTTGAGCATTATTCCGAATACAAGAACGGTCTCCCTTCATGAGTGAAACTGCCACAAACCACAGGATGCTTAATTGGAATTTGAAATTAAATGACAGAATAGTGAAATCTGAAACTGAAATTCAAGTCACTCAACATAGGATGAGTTTATAAGTATTTAGATACTTTTTTGTTTCAATATTTCTATAAAACTATCTTTTAAATATTGTTTTCTTTGATTCAGTTTGTTGTGGAAGTAATATGAAGAGTAAACTCAACACTTAACCCTCCTATTATCCTTGGGGTCAATTTGACCCCATTAAATGTTTAACGTCTGTAAAAACATAATTTTATTTATTTATATTTTGTTGTGCTTCAAATTTAATGACTTTTCCTAATTTAATGGGGACAACTCTGTAAACATAAAATTAACCTGCTAATATGTTTTCAAAGTCCTGTACAAATTTTGTAGCATCGGTGTTCCTTGGGGTCAATTTGACCCCAGGCTCTTTTAGTTGTATAATAAAAAAGAAGAAATATTACAATTTCACACACATTTGTTTTGGTTGTTAAATTGAGGTCATTATAACATGTTATAATTTGAATTTATAATGTTCATTGTAATTTTACATATTCAATATCATTTTCAAAAATTGTCAAATTGACCCCAGAGGGTAAAAAGTGTTATCAGATTTGAGGGTAACAGGAGGGTTAAATTCTGAGTACAATTTATATGTTTCAGTTTAAATTGACCCTAATTGGTTTCAATACAAGTCATGAAAAATCACACAATACAACAAAAATAAACATGGAACACATTTTTTTTTTTTTTAAATGTATTTGACAACTATTTGGATAAAAGTGTCTGCCAAAGGCCTAAATGTAAATACCTAAACAAGAAATTATATATAAAAATAATAATAATAATAAATTATATATAGGTCAACCAGTATTTTTGATAACTCAATTTTATGTTGCAGGTCAATTCTGCATGATGTATGCCACCTCAGTTCAATTTGATTCAACTGAATTGTGAAAGGTGCAGACCCCAGGATGATATTCGATGACATGAAACAATGTGCCGCTGCACACGCGTCTGTGTTTGTGTCTTTTAAATCCATGGCAGAGCTATTTTGGACCATCCTACGCTAAACAAATCCATCCATGTTTGGTGTGTGTGTGTGAATGTGTGTGTTATGGAGAGATATAAAACTTGTGAACCATGCGTGGGAGTTGGGTCACATGGAGTCACATTCTGTCACAAACAAATCGGGCAGGTTAGTTCCCTCTGGGGCAGTGGGAGCAAGGATGTGTCTTCTGAGCAGAAAATTAATGAGACAAAAACCAAAAGCAGGCTAAAAACAAACAAATAGCTCGGATCCCATACATATTCAACAAGCCCCGTCACAATCAGCCACAGTGAGGAGCAATGACCTGGATACCAGGACCTCTTACATGGCTCACAATAGAGACAGAAGCAAACACATGCAGCGGTTGTCGCCACACTCTTGTGTTCCTCGTCAGGGTTGAGAGCGCTGACATGCTCAGTGAGTTTGGACAGTGAACTACAGACCACTGCAGGGCAAGACTCTACCTAATTACACTCTATAGAGAGGGTCTCAGACGTGGCTGGACTGAGGGCAAAGGCAACACAGTTGCACTGGAATATCTAAAAAAAAAAAGGCTTTGCACAAACCGTGTGTGGCATGATTATTTTCCATAAGTACCCTTTATGTCCACACTCAAAGTGCAAATGATGTGTGACTATAGGAATATGAACAAAATACATGTGAAAACAGTCCTTGTTAACCCTGAGCTCCTAAAAAAAAAAAAAAAAAAAACACCATATGAGATTGTCATATTTTCCACAATTGCATTTGTGTTTTAGTCAAATAATTGAATTAGTCACAATATTTTTATTTCAATGAATGGGGAGGGGAAACTAAAAAGAAAAAAAAAAAATATTATTTCATTTAATAAAATCAAGACAAATAAAAAAATGGGCATAAAAATAGGCACTAATTAAAGGTTAATAAACCATTAAAATTGTATTGCCTGCCCTATTACAAATTGAATTGTCACTAGATAACAATGATAACAGTAGAGAAATTGTATTAATTTAATGGTATAATTTAATTGATATTATAAATCAACTAATAACAGAAAAATAGATTAAATATAACTTAATTCAAAATTGAAAACTACTATTCAAAATAGATTTTTAATCACATGTGGTCAATCTCTGTGAGAACCGAGTGAGAACAGCTGAGTCAGTTTGATAAGCAGGCCAGCTAAAGTGTTAAAGCCGGGTGACGTGGATCATTTGAGGTTTTAAAAGCCAGATCCCTGGGCACAACATTAGGATATCCATGGCATGGATCATGGGATTAACAGGTAGTGCAAGAATAGAAGGTATTCTAGGAAGAGAAAGCACTGTATATCCATTTTAGTCTGCCTGTCTAAAACTAGTGCAGAGTACAGTATGGCATTGAGATGACTGGGTAAATGTGTCAACATGAATTCACCATATCAACTGTCAACCTCCCATCATATATACAAAAGGTAATAAGGATTCTCGACAGATTAAAACAGGCTTAATGATTGTTTCACTCAAACCCTGAAGGTTCACATTTTGATAATTGTCCATGGTCTCAATCATATGCTGAGTAACAGAAAGAGTGCCCTTGACACAGCTTATAAAAAACACGTAAACGCACGCATTCACACACATTGAAGGTCTGGACTTACTTTGGTGGGGGCATGATGAAGCCGAGGGTGCGGTACAGGATTGCTCCGATCACAAAATACGCAGTGTCGTCTGATTCTGCAGGACAAAAAAAGTCAACGTATCAAAACACATTACTTATATAAGTCACAGATCAAAACCCGACCAAATGTGACACTGGACCACAAAAACAGTCTTATGTGTCCATTTTTTAAAATTGAGATTTATACATCAGATGAACGCTGAATGAATAAGTGTTCCATTTATGTATGGTTTGTTAGAATAGGAAAATATGTGGATGAGATACAACTATTTGAAATTGGGAATCTGAGGGGACAAAAAATCTAAATCTAAAAAAAATCGAATCGCCTTTAAAGGTTTCCATTTATGTTGGCGATTGTGCTGCATTCGCTTACAAAAATAAAATTGATATATTTAACCCTCATGTTACCCTCAAATCTGATATGTCTTTGTTGACTTTTTGTAACCTTTTAAGTTGACATGTTTACAGAGTTGTCCCCATTAAATTAGGAAAAGTCACTAAATCTGAAGCAAAAAATAATAAATAAATAAATAAATAAATAAATAAATAAATAAATAAATAAATAAATAAATAAATAAATAAATAAATAAATAAATAAATAAATAAATAAATAAATAAATAAATAAATAAATAAATAAATAAATAAAATGATGTATTTGCTGACGTTAAACATTGAATGTGGTCAAATTGACCCCAAGGATAATAAGAGGGTTGAGATGGGAAATTTACTGAATATCTTCATGGATCATGATTTTTACTTAATATCCTAATGATTTTTGGCATACATTTTTTTTTTTTTTTTTTAATCGATAATTTTGACCCATAATGTTTTGTTGACTATATTGCCACAAATATAGCCTACCCATGCAACTTAAAACTGGTTTTGTTGTATATAAAGAGCAGGAAACATATTTAAAAATTATGGAAAAAATGAATCAGAATAAATCTTTTGTTGCAACAATCTAGTACAATGTAATAATATTATTTCCGTGTGTGTGTGTGTGCGCGCGCGCATCTAAATCATTTTAAGTAAAAAATAAAAATAAAATACAATGTAAATGCATGAGGAAAAAAAAGAGCATCATTCCTTTTATCCACATACTGTACTCATATATTCAAATATGAAGGGAAAAGGATGACATCAGAACAAACATATGACCATGATAAGCAGCTCCAGCTGAGTGAACCAAAAATACAAAGCAGAATATAAAAGAGCGGCATTTAAGCAAACTCTTAGAGAGAGTCAGTGCATAGCTTGACATTTAAAAGACAAAGAAAAGAGGACTTTCATAGAGATATGACAACTGATTCTGTTCCCAGACCATCTGTCCACTCCTCCCCACTGGCTCCGTACCCTTGTTTCATCTCTCTGCTTTTCATAGCATTTGTTATGTTCTCTCCTCTGCACGAGTGCCTTGCCTCCACACGCACCTCATCATCTGTTCTTATCTCAGACACTATTTATCATGGACCTCTTTCTTCTACATCCCACCTCACTCCCATCCAATTCTTCTTCTCCTCGGTCGGAATGTTTTTCCCTCGTCCCTAAGTAAATGCCATCATTTTTCACTAGTGGAGGACATACTTTGGACAGGAAGTGAAAGCGATACAGTAATAGGTGATGTAACGAGCCTAAAGTCCATATTTCATTGCTCTATTGTCTTTACGTGGCAATGGAGGTCCTCACAGCTATTCAAGGTTCAGTCGGAGATGGAAAACGAACATTTAGGCCTGTTCTGAGGCACTTTGGAGGATTTTACTGCAAATTTTATGAAGAGAAACTCAGGCAAGCATGGCTGAATCGCTGTTGCAATGTCCACTGGCATTATGCAATTTAAGGTTTAATAATTGAGGTTGAATAGAGCTGGTTAAAATCACTGAACACAATATGCATACTCCCTGATGCAAAAGAATATGCCCGTAACAGAGTATCATAACGTGATAACGTGATCTCATTAATTTGTACCTCTCTAATGTAACATCATTTTTATGGTTTAGAACTGTGGAATATTTATAATATACTTTTAACATCATTTTTTTTTTTAAATACATGTTTAACACACTTTTTATTCTGAAAATGCACATTATAAATGCATCTGAAAATGTTTCTCTTCAAGTATGTTCCGGTGTTGATTTAGTATTACTTATATGCTGTTATGTATTTTTTTATAATCTGAATTAGCTTTTATTTGTATGTATTTTATTCTTATCTGCTTTTATGAGTTGTATTATAATTTTAAACCTATTTAATTTCAATTTTAGTTTTAGTAATTTTATCACTTCAACTTCAGTTTCAACTTATTTCAATTATTTGTAACATTTAAAAAAAAAAAGGCTAAATGTATATTTTTTCTACCAAAAATTATTCAGACACCACATACTATATATATTTGTGTATAGTGGGTGCAGGACACCATAGTTCATTTGTGTAAGTTAGGATAGCAAGTGTCTGAAGGCGTTTAGGTTTGACTGTGTATATATATTTATACAGTATATGAAGAGTTCAGATGCAAAAGCCTCTAAGTGCCATTTGAAATTTTCTTCTAGAATGGTCATTTTTATCATGCTTGTATATTTAAGTTCAGTGATTTCACTTAAATGGCAATGATAATTACCTATTAATTGTTATTTAAGTGAAATTACTGACCTTAAATATACAAGTTTGATAAAAATCATCATTAAAGGAGAACATTTCAAATGGCATTTAGAGGCTTTTGCATCTGAACTCTTCATATATAACTGAAATAACAATAGATGTAAAAAAAAAAAAAACAAGTCATGTACAAGTAATAATAAAATAATAATTCATTACATTTATATAGCGCTTTTCTGGAAACTCAAAGCGCTTCACATGGAGGGGGGGGGGATCTCCTCAACTACCACCAATGTGCAGCATCTACCTGGATGATGCGACGGCAGCCATATTGCGCCAGAACGCTCACCACACACCAGCTTACTGGTGGAGAGGAGACAGTGATGAAGCCAATTGGTGTATATGGGGTTGATTAGGAGGCCATGATGGACAGATGCCACTGGGCAAATTTGGCCAGGATGCCGGGGTTACACCCCTACTCTTTCGAAAGACATCCTGGGATTTTTTATGACCACAGAGAGTCAGGACCTTGGTTTAACGTCTCATCCGAAGGACGGTGCTCTTTTGACAGCATAGTGTCCTCATCACTTTACTGGGGTGTTAGGACCCACACAGACCGCAGGGTGAGCACCCCCTTCTGGCCTCACTAACACCTCTTCCAGCAGCAACCAAGTCATAAAAGCAGATAACAAAATGACTAAAACTTAAAAATGAAAATAAAAATATACAATTAAAGTGTGCTGGGTGGTTTGACAAAAAACAAAAAACAAAAAAAAAACAACACTTTTTTTTCATGCATAATCAGGTGTTAAAAAAATTTTCCACTGGTTGATATGGGAATTACTAACCACATAGTCAACATTATGAAAAAAAAAAAAAAGTCCGCTGGTGCTTCAGTGACTACTTCGCACAGAGAACCTGTCAATCACAGCTGTCAATCCTGATGTCAGAGAACTGTTTTTACAGCATAACATAATTAAAAGTTATAAAGTTATAAAAAGTTATATAAAGTTATAACTAAAAAGGTTGATCGAGACATTTTGGCTTCACTTTTGAGGGAAGCAAGCCCAGGGAAAATAGACCTATTCATACAAGAGCAGCGTGTATCTGAGAGACAGACAGATTCGCACACGCGTATTACATTAATTTACTTCTGCACTACAATTAGAGTGCTCTCGACATTTAACAGAAAAATAACGCCATACCTTCCCTGTAACGTAACACAGAGCACTCGCCTCACTGTCGCTGCACTGTAAAAATGAATATGCTTTATCTAATCAAAAAAAATAAATTTGTGGCAACAGATTACAAGCTATATTATAAATTAAATTTAACAAATTGGAATTGAGTAATAATTAATCAAATAATTCCTTAAAAGTTAACCATTTAAAATTAGTCAAATTTACAACAGCAACCAAAAAACAACAAAAAAAAAACAACAACAACAACATACAATTATGTCACCATTATGGGGATCAGTGTTTGTTTTAGGTTTGTTTTAAAATTACGGTTTTCTCCTTCAGTGATTCTGCTTGTTAACGTCAGGTGTCTTCAATGTTGGCAATATAAAATAAAGAGTTCTTAATTAATCTTTGACGTCTGTCTGTTAGTGAGATATTTTTTGTTACATTTTTTGGTGTAAACTTTACTCATTTTAAATGGTTAACTTTTAAGGAATTTGTCAAATTTAATTAATAATATTGCTTTTTAATCTGTTGCCACAATTCTGTTGATTAGATAAAACATATGCATTTTTACAGTGCAGTAGAAGTGCAACATTATAAATTGTCATAAATACATCGGTATGGTGGTATAAATACATCGGTATGGTGGTATATTAAAAATTGATATCATAAAAAAGCTAATTCATATATATTTATGCTGTATATCTGTATGATGTATCATTTTGAATATCATTTTGAAAATTATTCTGAATGGAAGTTCTATTTTGGAACATCATGAACTAAAAATAAAACCTCCAAACACCAAGAAAATGACCTATTAACTCAGTTTGCTGTTAAAAAAAAAATGAATCAAGGGAGGCATGTACACCCCTTCACTGAGAACGGGGACGTCAAAAGACAGATGACGTAACACATTTAGTGATACCGCAGCTCTCATCAGCCTCAGCAAATCAAACGCCAATCAGCTCCACAGCGGTTCTGACTGCATGTTAAACTATAAGTTAATGGATGACAATCACACAACAAGCCCTGATGGTCTGGTCTGAATGGAGCCTGACTTCTATTTTCCCTCTATTCTCCGAGCTATCACTTTAACAAAGCTATTTTGAAAAAGGACCATGATGAACCCATCCTGCTTTCTATAGAGAAGCGTTACGGACAAAGCTCTGCCCAGGGAGCCATCTTATCTCCGATGGCAGTGGGCAGAAAGGGGAGTGTGTCAGGACAGGAAGTTTTTTGTTATTTCCTGCTGGGTGGTCCTCCACGGCTAGACAGGTCCATAATGGTTTAGCCTCGAGTTGTTGAGACACTCGACGAGGCACAAGCATTAATGGTCATTTCTTATGTCCTTTTGTTTCTTTTTCATTTCATTCAGCGCTCTCTTCAATCTTCAAACCAGCTCTTCTCCACCCACATCCGTGTTTTTATTCTCTCCGGCAGAATATCTCTTGTTTTTTTATGGGTTTTTTTTCCCTCTCCCTATCTTAGAAGTCTGAGAAGTGAATGCCTGTCATGCTGGCAGATCACTATGATTTTCATTGGCCCATTTATTCTTTCAATTCTCTCAACCGTGTTATCTGTCTCTTCCCAAACCGCTGAGTGATTGCATTCTGTTCTGTAAGGCCACACGCTAAACACAACTTCACACACGTTTCTGTACTGTACACTCAGATTTGGTTATTTATTGGTGTACAGGAGTTTGACTGCGCAGTGAATACTTGAATGGGTAAAGATGTTTGAATGGCAAATGTCAAATCAACAAAAGCACAATTGGTTTGGAATTTGTCAAATCATTGTAACTAACCTGTAATAATTGTACAGATTGATCAATAGTCAATAAGGGGACATGGATATGTTTGGAAGTTTGTTTCCACCACAGAATAAAACACTATTTTTATTGCATCTCTTGTAGCATTACAAAAGGTACTGTAATTGCGACTTTTTATCTCATAGTTGTTAGTTTACAACTCACAATTGTGAAATATAACATCAGAATTGCATGATCTATAAAGTCACAACTGTGCAAGAAATAAACTCGAAATTCTGACTTTTGACTCACAAACTCACGATTCTCATAAAAATCACAACTCTGACTTTGTAACAAACTCACAATTGTGAATTTATATCACGTTTAATTTTACACTGAGATGTAAACTCACAATTGTGAGAAAAAAAAAAGTCACAATTAACTTTTTCATTTTTCATTCTGTGGCAGAAACAGGATTCTATAGAAATGGATAAATATGAGGATATAGAATATATATATATACATACAGTATATATAAAAAATACTTTTACATTTACTTGCAAAATTTTGCATTCTCTCGCAAAACTTTTGAGAGTGAAAGCAAAAACTATATTTCAGTGCTTTTGCAAAATTTCTTGGGAGAATGCAATAATTTACCAGAGAACACAAAAGTGTTGTGAGCAAATGTAAAGTTTCTTGTGTAAATGCAAAGTTTAGAGAGTGAATGCATGAGTAAAAAAAATATTTTTCAGCATCACATCCCGTTATTGGCTCAGTAAATAGGCAAATTGGTTCTGTCATGAATTATTTTACCTAAAATGCGATACTTTCAGTCCTATGGTTAAGATTTGTCCTGTTCATTAACTCTGGCTTTCTGTATAATTTAAGTGGCAGCCACTTATAATATAAACATGCATATCCAGAATAACACACTAAATGTAATAGCTAATCAAGGCGAGAGTTGAAAACACTTCCCATATTTATCAGTTTCAAACTATTTTGAAACTGTATTTTGTTGCTGCTAGATGCCCTGATTTAAGTGACTCATTCCCACATTTAAACATGGTTGCAGCGTGTAAATGTTCTAGGAGGAATGGGAAAAAAGTAAAAGAGTCAGGAGAAAGATGTTAAACAATGTCAAATGTGACAGGGAAGCGAGTCATATAACATGCTAGGACACCACAGCAGTTCACATTAAGCCGCTGAACCCTGACGGGATAGTCAGAGAGTCACTGCTGACACCAGGATCTCATCAATAACAATGATGGAGCTGCAAGCTGAGATGCAGTGGAACTCACATACTGTTACATGACGATTGAAAAAACACAGACGAAGAAACAGATGAAAAAAAAAGAACTATCAGTTCCATTTTTACTTTAAAATGATTCAAAGATACACCAAACAAAAAATGTGTATGTACACGTTGTCACATTTAAACTATGTCTTTAGTGTGTAATGTTGCAGTTACATGAGCATGAAAAAGATCTCCAAATTAACAAAGCACAAATTCTCTATGTCAGTACAAGCACTTTTTGAACTCCCTGAAATGCCTTGATTGTAGTCTTCCGGGAACATACAGTATGCATCACAATATTCCTCATTTAAATAATTCCCGCCCAAGGCTTGTGCAAAAAAAAAAAAAAAAAAAAAAAGGACAAGGAAAGAAAAAAGGGCAAGGCTCGGCTGAGTTACATTAGTAGTGTGTAGAAACTGACTGTTACGGAAAGGGGCGTGACATTTCCAAAATGCACTCGAAACGGTTGACCAATCACAAGCGAGTCGGAATTAACACTAGAAGTGCCAGAATTCCAAAACTACTAGAACGGCCACAAACGGTCATTTTGACCGTTAGATTCAAAACAGTGTTTATTTCTTTGACGAATAATTTTCGTAATTATTTTCGTCAACCACATTTTTTCAAAGACGGAAACGAGACGATAACTAAATAAAAACTAGGTTTGAATGACAAAAACTATGACGAAAATGTTAGATAGTGACGATATGCGAAGCGGTCAATAGGCTAATAATAATAATAGGACTAGCAGAACTAGTGAACAGCCCATGCAGCAAAACAAACAGCGCAGGACAGGGCAGCAGAGCTCACCAGGATCATCCGATATGAATTGAACATCTGGATCCACCGTGTCTGATGATATCAGCCGTCTCTTTTTCCTTGATGTGAACTCTGACTCTGAATCACTCTCTGATGATATATAGCCTATAACGCAAGTATTGATAACTGTAGTCTGGTTTTGTTTGCTTATTTCTGATCAACAACTAATGTAGAAATTATTATAAAGCAAACACCACTACAGAGGTGACCGGACGGACCTTTCTGTTGACAGTTGAGAGAGAGAGACCACGATCAACCGCGGGATATTTAACAAAAAAAATATCGCGAAATTCAGTGCGGTCAATATGACCGTCTATGGCCGAAATAGGTAAATATGTTCATTTGTTTTGTTTTGCCTTACGTTTACGTAACTTAATTTATATGAAAATCATTTTAAATGAAAATACAGACAATTTTAGGAAAAGTCAGGTACCAGCAGGATTCTATTATTTTTTTCAACAAAGTTATTGTAGATATAAAATTCAAAACGGTCAAAATGACCGTTGTGGCCGTTCTAGTGTTAAACTTGTACTACCCACAGAAGCACAATTGCTCAACATGTCAGAGTTCATGCACTGACACACCATATCTTGCATCACTCACCATCGGAGGACAAGGCAAAGACTTCTTTGGGGATGAAGAGTTTGTCATCAGAAGAGCGTGCCCAGTCTTTCATCCCTCTCCTCCCCTTCATGGGGAAGTTGATGTCACTGGAAACAGCCGAAACGGGCTCTCGCTGGATGGTGATAACTGACAGGACCAGAGAAAGACAGATTAACAGTCTGTAAAGTTCAAATATTAAACGCTTCACGGAAGTACTTTTAAGAGATGTTCACTGCAGGACAAGATGACCTTTATTTGTGGCACTACTGCGTAGATGCCATGGGAACTCACTGAGGTTGTTGGTGACAACCAGAAAGCTCTGGAACGGCTTCTGAGCCTCTCCAATTAGATGAATGAAGTCTTCCACAACTCGCATCAGAAACACAGAACCCGGAGAGACCTGGAAGGAAGTCACATAATCACAAATAAACATTCAAACAAGATATACGGTTTAGTCAAGCCCAGTTTTGGGTTTGATCTCTAAAACATGCACTACCGTTCAAAAGTTTGGAGTCGGTAATATAAATAGTCTTTTATAAATAATTTCTTTAGTTCCTTGGTTTCAAAGAAAAATTTAAACTTAGTCCCAGACTAAACTGCATGTTTGAGCTGTATTAACTGAAAACAACTTGCACAGTTATAATCTTAAAACATGTCAGTGTCATTGTTTTGTCTAAAGATGCACACCAGTAGTGTTTTTTTGTTTTTGTTTTTGTTTTTTTTTTCCCTATGGCATGTTTATTAAAGCTACTTAAATATCCTAATTGAACTAAGGCCTAATTCTGGCTTAATCTAAACCATGTCTGTTCTCAAGTGTTGCTCTTGAGCTAATGATTGGAGCAATGATGGAGAAAATTAAATTACATTTAAAATATATGGAAAACAGCAACTGTAATGATTTCTCACAATACTACTGGTTTTTTTTTTGTTTGTTTTTTTCAAATAAATGCAGAATTGGTGATCACACAAGATCCTTTTTTAAAAATCTTTTAAAAAATGTCTAATCAACCCCAAACCTTTGATTAGTGTACATAATAACCCTCATAACTCCCAGACAAACATACCTTCATTACCATAATGAAGTAATGAATAATGGTTTACTGGTAAAGACTAAAATGTAGCTAATACTTGGCAAGAGTAAAAGAAAAACAGTTTGTTACTGAGAAAACAATACATTCTACCTTCAAATACTTTTCATTTTCAGTGCATTTTTCACAGTTTACAGTGAGAGTTTATGAGGCAGCCGTGAAACAATGATGGACAATAAGCATCCACAAGTCCGATGAAGCACAGTATATACCACCATTCCCCCACTCTCCACTTTGTCATGTTTATAAATTGTCTCGCGGGTTTTAATTCACTAGGCCTTTGTTCCATAAAACAGCCCGTCACATGCACGTTTTACAGTGAAGTGCATGAGAATATGGAGCCCATTCCTCAATCTAATTGGAATTTTGCTCTTCCTCTCGTGTGTGGAAATGAAGCCATTCGTGATTGTCTACGGAATTTATCGTTACTCCGTGCCATAGAGGACTCAATCCGTGGTATTTATTATGTACTATTTTGAATTTCTCTCAAATTAAATGTTTTCGAATATTTGGCAGATGGCGATTCTATATGCATTCAGATGAGAAGCAAAGCATGTTGTTGGTTTGAAATTAATAGGAGGAGAACTGATATCATTCTTTCCCAAGCAGGCTCCTGGTATCTTTCACAAAAATAATAATAATAATAATAATAATAACTTTCTTAGTCTGGGGAAAATACGCTAACTGACCAAACATATTGGAGGTTGAGTTTTTCCATCTCTGAGTTTTCACATTGTAAGTGTTCATATGTCGTGGCAAACAAAATATATCGGCTCTGATGAAACAGAAACTTTGCTCATTCCATTATATTTATTCTTCAACAAGGCAAATATTCCCACTTTAGAGTCCAAATGAATTCAAAATTGTCCCTTTTTCATTTCCTGCACATTCTTGCTCTCCCTGTGATTGATGTGTTAAAGGGGAAATGAAGCAGTCCATCAAGTTTACATGATTTACAAGATGGATTTCCACTATAATCAACAATTATATAAGAAACATGACAAATGTAAACATATAAAAAAAAAAAAAAAAACATATCTTTCACTGTCTGGGCGCCGCCATTGTGCAGTATTCTAACATGTGACGTCACGGGGTTGGTTGGCTTTAGTTTAACAGGCTCTGGGCAGTGAATATCTCGACATCAAACTGTTTACACCACAGTGTTTTAACCGCGAACAACTAATGTTGCGGTACAGTCATTGGAGAAAAAGACGATGTCTAATGTTATATGTTAACAAACTGCACATAGAAACATTGTTCACGATGTCTGCCATCATATTACTGTCCAGCGCAGTCATTTAACTGACGTCTTGGGACTTTTGGTCTTTTGACCATACGTCAACATCCGCCTTTTTAGGGTAGCCTTAAACGTCGGTTAGATGACGTTATCGGATCCTAACCCTACCCCAGACCTAAACCTACCCCCCGTCACCTAACCGACATTAAAGGTAAAGCGTCAGTTGTATGACGGCCAGGGATCGTCATGTAACCGACGTTTAAGGGTACCCTAAAAAGGCGGATGTTGACGTATGGTCAAAAGACGTCCTAAGACGTCAGTTATATGACTTCTTGAGATGAGACTGTGTTATCCTGTCTCGTCAACACCATCATCTTTTTGTCTAATGACTGTACCTAACATTAGTTGTTCGCGGTCAAAACACTGTGGTGTAAACAGTTTGATGTTGGCATATTCACTGGCCAGAGCCTGTTAAATTGAAGCCAACCAACCCCGTGACGTCACATGTTAGAATACTGCACAATGGCGGCGCCCTGGTGGCGAAAGATATAACGTTGTTTTGTTTTTCTTTTATATGTTTACATTTGTCATGTTTCTTATATAATTGTTGATCATAGTGGAAATCCATCTTGTAAATCATGTAAACTTGATTGACTGCTTCATTTCCCCTTTAATGTGTTTTATTCGAAATAAAGAAAAAGGTTGAAAAGCTTCAGTCAACACTTATTTAGCACACGCTATTGGAAAATACTAACCAAGTGCTTAAAAAAGACCAACAGTGGTAAGTAATGCCGATGTTTCACCATCCAATCAGTTTTAGGCTGTGTCTAAAATCACCCTCTGTACCCTTACCTTACTATTAGACGGGACAGACATTTGTAGTGGTGTCCAAAACCACTGTGGACATTATCGAGTGCACTCATTTAATCCCACAATGATGTACACTCAACGGCTAGAGAATACCCATAATGCACTGTGAGAATCGCAGTAAATGCTTGTTTCCATGACAGAGTTTAATACATGACAGAGTTTTAGAGTTTGATATCTTTTCAACTCACAGCTCCTACTGGTTTGCTAAGATTCAATTTTTTTTTTTTTTTTTTTACAGAATTATTTTATTCCGCAAGGATGCATTAAATTGATCAAAAGTGACAGTAAAGACATTTATAAATTAAAATAGATTTCTATATCAAATATACACTGTTTTTTTAAGAATAAATTTATCATGGTTTCCTCAAAATAATTAAGTACAACTTTTTTCAACATTAATATGAATAAGAAATGTTTCTTGAGCACCAAATCAGCATATTATAATGATTTCTAATGGATTGTGGGACTGAAAATGACAATTTATGGCACAAGTGGGACAAAGTGTTGTACAAATGGCTTACATGTAGTTTTACACTGACAAAATATTTAAAAATGCACTCTTCCCCTTTAAGATTCTGGCAGACGGAATGCACATTGAGGGGACATTGTGAACACTCCAGCAGGCTCACAGGAGAAGATGATTATTTACTGAGCAGGGAGAGCAGGAGGTGTGTCAAAGATTTGCCTGCTCAACTGTGCTTTAACACCAAAACCTGGCTCCGTCACGCTGAGCTAAGCACCTGGCGCCCGCATTCATACACAAACATAAACGTTCACTAGAGTCACGAGCATGTGCAGCACAGACTTTGCTCGGTATGTAACCATTAGTCACCATTACCTCAACACACTATCCCATGCCCATAATTTAAAAAAAAAGAACTACACTATGAACAAACTAACAGCTAATGTTTACATCAGAAGTAATATCAATGATTTCATTGCACTGTAATGGCGGAGCCTTATGGGAGCAGGAGGGCTTTCTATTTTGGCACATTATTGTATTGTGTTTGTGTGTGTTGTGGATAGCTGACAGAGTGTTACGATGCATTTGCTAAGATTTTAGAATGTTTTTTGAAAGTCGTCTCTTATTCTAACCAAGGCTGCATTTGTTTGCCCTAAAGGTGCAGATCATGCTGTAACATACTTAAAAACAAAAAACAAAAAAGAAATTACAATTTAAAAGGACCTTTTTTCTATTCGCATATATTTCTATAATATATTTAACAGTATTTTTTTTTTTTTTCCCATGATGGCAAAACTGCATTTTCAGCATCCTTACTCCACACTTTAGCATCAAATGATCCCTCAAAAATACTGATTTGGTGCTCAAGAAACATATCTTATTATTATGATCAATAATGAAAACAAATTCTTTTTCACAACGCAACATATTTTTCTGGAAACCGTTATACTTCTTTTTCCATGTGTTTTTTTTTGATCAGTAGAAAGTTCAAATGGACAGCATTTATTTGAAATAAATATCTTTATAATATTATAAATGTCTTCTATGTCACTTTTTGAGCAATTTAATGCGTCATTGATGAATGAAACTATTCATTTATTTCAAAAATAATTACTGGCCCCATTACCGGTAATTCAAAAATATTACTGGCCCCAAACTTGTGAACGGTTTTGCAGAAATAGTACACCTCTCCTGAACAAGTTGGTCATGACAAAGATTTCTATTTTTTAATAAGTTCCTTGAGGTTCACTTATAATGTTAATAAAGTTTTTGCACTATACACGTGCCTTGTTTACAAAACAAAATGCTCCGGACAAACATATTATTCTCCAACATACTCGTAGTAATTCACATGACGTTTCAAATCCCTACCTCAAAATATGAGCAATAATTATATGATCGCCTAAGCAAGCACAACTACAAATTCCCATATATAAAATAAGACTATTATATATATTAAAGCAGCTTTTGCTGTTCCACACATAAAGATTGAAAAAAGAATGGATGTATTTGGTAATTCTGACAAAATCTGGGCTGTAAAGAATAGCCATCCCATAATTTCCAAGTTATTTGACATCAGCAGAAAAGTGTATGTTCTTAAAGGGATGGTTCACCCCCAAATGAAAATTATGTCAGTAATTACTCACCCTGATGTTGTTCTAACCCCGTAAGACTTTCGTTCATCTTTGAAACTCAAATTAAGATATTTCTGATTAAATCTGAGAGCTGGATCATTCCTCCATAGGCTTCTAAGGGATTAAAACTTGCCGGCCCAGAAAAGTTACAGATAATAGTTAAAATAGTCCAAGTGACTACAGTCGCTCTATCTTTAAGTTTATCAAGTGACGACAATACTTTTTGTGCGCAAAAAACAAAAAATTACAACTTTATTCAACTATTAATTTCCTTCATGTGAGCCTACGTCGTGTGACGTACAACCTAGATATGTTGCGCAGTTACACTATGGGAACTATCTCGAGGCCCACAGAGAAGGAAATGAATAGAAAAGGGACTAGAAAAGATGAACGAAAATCTTACAGGGTTGGAACAACATGAGGGTGAGTAATTACAGACAGAATTCTCATTTGGGGGTGAACTAACCCTTTAAGTGAGTCAGAATATGATCTCCTGCAGTTAGTTCAGGCCTCAGTGAATAAGAAAAAATAAGGCTTCATGCATAGTTGAGTTGAGGACAGTTTATTATGCAGAAGTGTCCTGGCTTGACATCGAAAACACCGTGGACCAAACCACACAGCATCTTAAGTCAAACGGCGTCTAATGGAGCGGTGTAATGCAAAGAGGCAGCTATAACAGCATATCCCTTTCCCAACACACTTTACAGTCGGGTTCTATTACATCCTCGGTCTGGTCTGATGTCTGATAACATTTGGTGTTAATTTTTGAGATCAGACCTGGTTTTGATGACACAGCTCTGTCTGGGGGGAAATTAAAACTCACGGCACACAGACATGAAAAGTTGCGTTCTTGTGTCGGATATTGACAGGTGTATTGCAAGGGCCGAGGACGGATGTGTTACCTGGTGAGCGTCTTCCCACTTCTCAAGGTTTTCAATGTCCAACATTAAGCTGACTATCTGGAAGAATTTCTGAAAAAGAAGAAAGAGTAAAAGTGAAAAAAAAAAGAGAGATGAGAATTGTGTGATGAAAGAATGAAGAAAATAGAGAAATGTGTTACTCTGCACTGCAAAAAAAAAAAAAAAAAAAAAAAAATATTTAGGATTTTTGTCTTTTTTTTTCCAGTATATATATATATATATATATATATATATATATGGAGAGAAAACATTGTATTTCTATCTTAAAAAACTTTTGAAAGATACCTTGCTAAAAGTGTATAAGATACTTTCAGAGAAACTTTTTATTTAAATATTATTAAAATATTTTAAATTGATATATTTAATTTTCATACCACAGCCACATCCAAGTGATCTGAGGGCACAGGCGATCTATCGGTCAAAATGATATAAGTACTGTTAATTTTCTCACACAAACCATTCATCTCGTGTCTTAGGCCATCAATGTGTACTTATATTTATGAGTCATGAAATCATGTTTAATTTGGACTTCTCTGTGCATGCTCTTTGAGGTGGTGACCATATACCTCCACTATATGACTGATAGACAAGAACGGTTTGACCTAAAAATATCAAAATTGAAAATACTGTGGAAACAAAGACACCTACATCTTGGATGCCCTTGAGGTAAGCTAAAACATACCAAAATTTCATTTCAAAGTGTGCTATCCCTTTAAGTCAGCATGGAGTATATGTACTTTTCCTATTTAAGCCAGCTACAAAATAGCTTAAAAAGCTAATTTATTCTATAATTATAACCCTTATTAAAAACTTCAAAAGAAATATCGCCCAATCACAGATTTTGTCATCTCCCCATATATCTTTCCACACACCCACAGACAAATACACACCTGCACGTCGTCAGGAGCTGGGATGTAGGTTGCTCGCTTGAAGGTGTCCGTCACATTTCGGAGAATCTCCACAGAGAATAAGAGGTCGCCGCTGTAATAATTCTTACGGGACATTAACTCCAGGAGACTCCTCACGATCTGAGACATGCCCTCCCCTGCCAGGGTCCTCTGACCCTTCGCAAGATGTTCTCGCAACTATATGGGAAGAAAAAACAAGCTTTTATGCACAGACACTGATTAATAAACCTTGATAATAATAACTACATGAGCATTAAAATTACACCCTGGGTTTTATAAATAAACATAGAGAGATGAAGTTGGGTCGAGATATCATATCAAACCAACAGACCAATCGCAACATGTTCATTTAAAGGGATAGTTCACTTTGAAATAAATTTTTGGTATGTTTTAGCTTACCTCAAGGGCATCCAAGATGTAGGTCTATTTGTTTCCAGAGTATTTTCAATTTTGATATTTTTTGGTCAAACCATTGTTGTCTGTCAGTCATATGATGCAGGTCTATGGTCACCACCTCAAAGAGCATGCATATAGAAGTCCAAATTAAACATGATTTAATGACTAGAAACTTTTTTAGAGGTAAAAAAATGATATAAAAGCTGATCGTTTTCTCAAACAAACTGCTTGTTTCGTGTCTTAGGCCATCAATGTGTACTTACATTTATGAGTCATTAAATCATGTTTAATTTGGAGTTCTCTGTGCATGCTCTTTGAGGTGGTGACCATTGACCTCCATTATATGACTGACAGACACAAACGTTTTGACCCAAAAATATCCAAATTGAAACTACTGCGAAAACAAAGACACCTACATCTTGGATGCCCTTGAGGTAAGCTAAAACATACCAAAAAAAATATATTTCAAAGTGAACTATCCCTTTAAAACTGGTATCATTAGTTAAAACGATATTTAATATCCTGAAAAATTTGCATCACAGTTTACAAACAGTTATTTCAAATTGTAATAATATTTCAAAATACTTTGTTTATTTTTACTGCATTTTCCAATTATGATCGAATAATTGCAGTCTTTAAAAAAAATAATAATAATAATTATACCAACCTTATAATAGGTAAAAATGAATTAATTAAAGAAGTTAAAAAAAAAAAAATAATAATAATTTTGCTGATTACTATTGGGGGGGGGGGGGTAAGAAGTTTTTTGATGAAAACATTCCAGGATTTTTCTCCATATAATGCACTTCAGTGGGAACCAAAGGGTTCACGGTCCAAAAGACAGTTTTAGTGCAAACTGTTCACAGGGCTTTAAACGATTCCAGATGACGAATAAGGGTATTATCAAGCGAAACGATCACTGAATTAAAAAAAAAAAAAAGATAATAATAATAATAATAATAATAATAACAAAGTTTAAGTTTTATAAGCACAAATGCTCGCCTTGCTCTGTTCAGGAGAGTCACGAACACGCATCACAGAACAGAGCAAGGCGACTATTTGAGCTTATAAAACTTAAACTTTATTATTATTTTTTTTTAATGAGTGATCGTTTCGCTTGATAAGATCCTTGTTCATCATCTGAAATTGTTTAAAGCCCTTTGAACAGTTTGCACTGAAACTGTCTTTTGGACCTTGAACCGTTTGGTTCCCATTGAAATCCAGAGTAAAATCCTGGAATGTTTTCATCAAAAACCATAATTTGTTTTTTCGACAAAATAAAGAAAGACATGGATATCTTGGATGACATGGGGGTGAGCAAATTATCAGCATATATATATATATATATATATATATATATATAAAATATATATAAAATATATAAAATATATATATATACAGTATATATATTTTTTTTACATAAAACCACAAACACACTATAAGTCCATTCAGGGTTATTATTTAACTAAAACTAAGGCTAAAATTAAAACTATAAAAAAAAAAAAATTAAATAAAAATCTGTTAATTGAAATAAATCTGAAATAAAATAAAATAAAACATAAATATTAGTTGAAACACAAACTAAATACAAATTAGAAATGTGCTTTGGCAAAAGCAAAACTAAAATAACATAGCATTCACATAATAAATAAGCACACTTAAAAAGAGAATAAATGAGCACGCTGGTGTAAAGGTAAGCCAGAAAAGGAAGTCCAGAAGTACATGCTGGCTTTGAAGCTGAAGCAACATTGATCCAGGACTGGAGCAAAGCGAGAGCAGTTTGAAGCTATCGACAGCAGCCTTAATCTACTTCCCATCTACAGTCAACCAAGCTGTGAGCTTAACAAAGTGAAAACAACGTCTCCCTCAGTGAATCAACCAGCAGAGTTCTTGTTCGCGGCTGAACGTCAGCGGACAAACTGTTGACTGTCTAATGACAGCACAGCGAGTGCAGGACGTGCCAGACAATGGCAATCACAGCTAATTAAGCATTGTGTGATTATAATGAGGGGTTATTGGACAGGTTAACAGCGCAATCAACCCCGGCACATCATGCCTCGGTCCAGACGTACAATTAAAAAACAACTCGGTATTATGAACTCAAAGTCAAAGGTCGTGGCAGAGGGATTAGGAGCGCATCAAGGCAGACTGTTGAATCTGTTATCAATCGTTATTAGAACCCAGAGGTCTGAAACCTGGAGAAGGAAAGTATATAATCAATATAAACGCTGGGAGCTAGTACCGTTTCTTTTCAAGCTTTCAAGTATTTACGGTAGGGAAGCATCTCAAAGTAATGGTTTTCATTTCCTTGGTGTGTATTAAAATGAGTGACGATCCAGCACTGGAACTGACTCTTTTTAATGTTTTGCGGAGTACTCATTGCAGTTATTATCTTTTGTGGATAGTGACAGTGACATTGCTCTCTCTAGAACACACTGCCCTTTAAATACACTCTGGTCTTTTATTTTTCTGTGGCTTGTGAAACTAAATGCAAACAAATGTATGTTCACTTCTGGTATGCAATACTACAATGCTTGTGTATGTATTTTTTTAATTCGTAATATTCAGCTGCTCATCCATGCCGTCTCCTGAGCGACACAATTCAGGGACTGACTGTAGCAGATGGGGGATATTAAATACAACTGAGCAATTGAGTTAGTCAGTGTGTATTAGTTCATGTATTAATTCAGCATGAATCAGAAAATATAATTACTTCCACTATGTAAACTGTTTTCGACAAGATATATCTTGAAATTTCTAGACACTGGCAAACAGTGTTATTATTATTATTAAAAATAGTAATAAACAAATAATAAATAATTCATTTAGAAATAATAAAATATTATTATTATTATTATTATTATTATTACAAATATTTATATTAATAAACATAATGTATTTAGACAATAATAATAATAATGATAATGATACGAATAATAATAAACAATGTATTTAAATATTTTATAATTGATTTAGCAAATAATAATCAAATATTATTAATTGTAATAAATAAATACATATTATTACAAAAAATACTGTATTGCTATTATTCATTATAATACCATTAAAATTGCTATCTTTATTTTTTTAAATATGATTATATTATGAATAATAACAATACAATATTATTAGTAATAATATGTATTTATTTATTGTAATTAATCATATTTTATTATTATTTACTATATAAATTCTTAAATATTTATATACATTGTTTATTATTATTATTATCTAAATAAATTATGTTTACTAATATGAATATTTGTAATGATAATATTAATAATAATAATAATAATAAACAGTTTATTTAAATATTTAAGAATTGATTTAGTAAATAACAATACAATGTAATTAGAAATAATATTTATTTATTGTGATTAATGATATTTTATTATTATTTACTAAATCAATTCTTAAATATAAATGCATTGTTTATTATTATTATTATTATTACTACAAATATTCATATTAATAAACATAATTTATTTAGATAATAATAATAATAACAAACAATGTATTTAAATATTTAAGAAGTGATTTAGTAAATAATAATAAAACATTATTAGTCATAAAAAATACATGCATATTATTAATATGAATATTTAAATATTTAAATATTATTAATACAATATTATTAATCATAATAAATAAATAAATACATATTATTGTTAATAATATTGTATTGTTATTATTCATAATAATAATCATATTAAAAAAATAAAGATAGAGATTTTAATGTTAGCATTAATGAGTATAATGTTAGTCTTATTCTCTGCCCAAATTTGCTTTTCAATCAACAACGATGACGATACTCTACACCACAAACTTGATTTCAAGATCAACATATAAACAAAATCCTTATCAAAACTCTTCATTATTGTGTTAGAAAAGGTGCGTAAACAAATTCATATTTATAATCTAATCCTACCCCATCTTGTGACATCACAGCACGTCATCCACATCCATGTACTCACAGATAAATGTAAATATCTATATTCGAGTGAGACACATCGGGCGAAGCTCGGAGGACCCCAGTAAGCAACTCCATTAGCGTCCAGCAAGCAACGACGACTAGCAGATCCTACAGGGAGAGGGAAGGAAAAAAAACACATCGCGATTACTGTTTATGCACAAACAATAACCAGCATGTCAAGGTTTGACAGACACATACTCTATGAGGTTCACACGCTTCATATTAAAGACTTCAACTGCGATGCGGCATGGGATAATGTAGAGTATGTATGTCATTTTGCAACGCTGCTAAGTCAGTTTTGCTTAAAGTTTCTGCCACTTGCATCATTCAGATCCAGGCCAAATTGGCCTGGCCAATAAGACCCGACATTGGCTTCACCTCCGGTACCCTCGCTGGAATAAAAATTGGCCGACAAAAAAGTCAAGTGAATCGCTCTCTGCAGGATTTTTTTTTTTTTTTTTTTTGCGGGGCGTTGCATGCATGACAGTCTGTGCTGGCCGGGACGTGGAGTTGATATAGATTACTGCTCGCCGTTGACCTCATTCAACACTCTACTCTGCGCTCTCACTTCAAAGACTTCATTTATTAGCTCTTTCTGTTTTATTAGGTAAAAATCACTGAGCGCCCTGGGTGTCTTTCTCCACTAGTATCTGAGAATTATTGAATACTGCACTCAGGGGGCATAAATAACCACAAAAAACCCTCTCCTACTGCAGTTGGAAGGTTTAGAAATACTTAAACCAAACCGAGGAGTGCATAATTACTGAATATCATCGATGTTTTTTTTTTGTTTTTTTTAAATAATTAGACAAGAATGTTGATATTGTGGCTTTATACACTGTCAGACACTTGCATGTGTCATTATATTATATATTATTAGCATTTTACCAAAACCAAACAGAGCTATGAGGGTTTTGTCCAATGTCGGACATAGGTTATGTCTATTGAGTAACACTTTACTTGATGGGGTGTGCATACAGTACTTCATACAGTAATCATGATATGACTTATGTTATGAATATGAATGAAGTTTTATGCATGTTTGTGACATTAAGTGTCACTTATGAGATTTTTAATGCAAATATGACATTGTTTGAGATGTCTTTATTATGATGACACCTTGACATACAGTAAACCAATACATCATAACCTGTCAGTGTCTTTGTCATGACAACTTGACATTACTAAGACAACACAACCTGTCATAAACATGACATAGCAGATTAATGATCAAACTTAAGAAACCACCTAGCTTTATTGGTTAACTTTACATTAAACTGTCAGGTGGTTGGTTCATGAAGCCATTATAACTTTTTAATGACAAATTCAATTAGTACCATTGTAGTTGAGGTCACAAAAAATATTCATGACACAGTTATAATGGCCTCATGACAGCCAATGTCAAAGCCAACCACATGACAGTTTAACTTAATTTTATGTCAAGTTGTCATGACAAAGACACTGACAGGTTATGATGTTATGGTTTATGTCAAGGTGTCATAACAAAGACATCTCAAACAATGTCATTTTAGCATTCCAAATGTCATCATCGACCAAAAGACACTTAATGACAGCTGTCATAAACATGCATAAACCCTACTTCATATTCAAGACATATGTCATGTCATGGTTATGAAGGTGTCATGCCTGTCTTATGCACACCCGTTCAGGTAAAGTGTTACTGTCTATTGCATTACATTTTTATCAACATTTAGGTTGTGCATTTTTTTTTCTGTCATTTGGCCAAAATCTCGTAGTATAAAAGATGAAGTTCTATCTAAGACAGTAATGACAGTATGTATATGTATATATTTATTTTATACATAAAATTTATTTTATACATAGGACCTACATACATATACTGTATATGGGCCAATCTACAGAATTGGTGCAAACTGCTCCCTGACTACCAAAAAACACATTTAAAAGCATTTAAATTTTCAAACGTTAGATGTTTATTAAGATCCTTCTATAATCTATTTAATCCCACAGTAATATTTACAATATAAGTAAGCTTAATATATACAAAATCATAATTTATTGAGTACTTTAAATTGGGAGGTGGCTGTCCTGAACAGTACCCCCCAAATTTCAACTTGTGAAAATATAGATTTTTTTCTGTTTTAAATTTTTTTTTTCTTCTTTTAAAAATGTAAAGTAAAAAAATATTTTATATTTTATTTTTAAATCATGAAATTACATTCATGTAAAAAAAAGTCCCTCATTTTCATGTCATGTCTTGTGTGCCTCTCTCTCATAGTCTCTCTTTCATTGTTGATAGGTACCATTATTTTGAGGGAAATGTGTTAAAATTTTTGAAAATCTGTGTGTAACTTTAAGGGACACCACTACCAAACACTTTTTTTCTGCAATTAAGCAAACATTATTTTTATTTTATTTATTTTTTATTTTTTTTGGTAATTCCATAAAATGTAGTTTTTATGTGAAAAGTGCTAGGCAACCATGTGCTGATTATCATCTTTGAACTAGGCTTAAAAGTATCTTAAATTGTCACTACCAAAACACGTGATGAAGTTTCGGTTGTGACATCATGGTTTTAGTGTTATTCGATACAATTTAGTTTTTGTGTGTGTACAACTGTTCATAACTGAGCTAGGTAACCATGTGCTGGTTATCATCTTTGTACTAGGCTCAAAAGTATCTTAAATTGTCACTACCAAAACATGTGGCAAAGTTTCGATTGTGACATCATAGTTTTAGGGTTATTCGATACAATTTAGTTTTTGTTTGTGTACAACTGTTCATAACTGAGCAAGGTAACCATGTGCTGGTTATCATCTTTGTACTAGGCTCAAAAGTATCTTAAATTGTCACTACCGAAACAGTCATGACTGTAACATGCCATTATTGTTTTGGTAGTGACAAAAGGGAACACATAATCATTTATTTGGGGGAAATACACAATGCAAGGTTTCTGCATAGTTATACACCAGTTAGCCACACGCTATATAGCAATCACAAAACACAGCGGAAAGTCCTGATGTACAAAACAACAACATGCCAATGTCTGACATTAAATCTAAAGCCTCTCAAAAAAAAAGGGGAACGTGTGTTTTTCAGGTCCCATACAAGCACAGTGGCAACATCTGAAATTTCAATCAACCAAAAGCAATGTCTTGATATTTGTTATATTAACTTTCTGTGGCGGCACATATTGGGCTGTAAACATCCTCATTGTTCTCAACATCCTCTCACACACCACTAATTCATCTCAATGGGCTTCAAAACTGAATGGCGATTAACTGTGTGGAAACCAACTTATTTCGAGCCTGTTGTGCGATGTTGGTTTTGGAAGCTGAGTGATTGCATTACTGATGGAGTTTTATAATGTGGTTCAACTGATCATAAAATCTTTTAATAAAGCTGTATGTCATGGTAAGAGAAGAAGCAAATGTATCGGAGATTGAATTAGACATGGCGTCTTTGTCTGTGGCCAAAACAACATTAGATTGTACGTTCAGAGTTTTATGTGATGCAGACGGCGGCGTACTCTCTAAAGCTAATCAAGCTCGGATCATTAACTTTTCTTGAGCGGTTTTAATTTACTACTAATTTGTCATTTAGCTGACATTTTTATCCAAAGCAACGTACAATAAACATTTTTTTTTTTGAGGAACAGCCGTGTTTGAATAGGCTGGGGTTAGACCCGCTAAAGGCCAGAATGGTCGGATTGCTCCTTACACAGTTTGAACCAGCAAACTTTTGATTACTGGCCAAAAAAAGAGACTACACCACTCATTATTAGATCACAGGGACAATTATCAGTGAACAAATCCTCAAACTAATTGGCATTATTAGCAAATGATGACTAATTTATTCACACGCTTCAGAACACTTGTAATGTCACAGGTCAAATTGACTGATTTTATAATACTCTTCTGTTTGGACTAATATGAACTAATAACTCTCATTTAGATTTAAGAAGCAGTTCCTCAAATTATTAAACATTTTGTTCCACTGAATATGAAGTCATACAGGTTTGGAACGGCATAATGATGACCGAGATGGTTTAGGAGAACTGTAATTTGCATACTTTTTATTGGAGAAAAAGAGTCAGACAGACTCAAATGGACAGAATATTTGCTGTAACGTACCAGTGGCATTTGATGGACACTTGTTGTACACCGTCTCTCCAGCTGAGGCTCTCTTCCACGTCATGGCTACTTGGTACTCATCTTTACAAATTTCATGAGGTGCTGCACACAGTATACAACAAAAATAAGAGGTTATCCAGCAACAAAAATATACTATAAGATGCATGAACAAATTGGTAATAAATTAAAAAAAAAGTCTATTGTTGATTGGGAATGGACTGATGATGGATGGATGGATGGATGGATGGAACAATGGATAGAACGATAGAATATGATAGTCTTGCTTTTCAAAATAAATCTAAATATAAACTGTTTAACAAACAAACACATAAATAAAAATAAATCAATCGATAAATAGTACTTTTTTTCTCCCATTGGCAAATTTTTTTGTCTTGTTTCAAGCATAAGTTGAAGTGAGGTTGCCTCAAGATTAAAAAAAAAGAAAGAAAAAAAAATACTGATTGAGAAAATGAGATCACTGACTGCAACAAAGACACCTCTCTCCAACTTTCATTTAAAAGCTCCTTCAGAACAGAGAACAACCCAGGGGTGAGATCCAGAGGACGACTGGGTTGAAAGCGGAGAGAGAGAGATGGAGAAAAGAACCCTACTCTTTTTCATCTGAACATAATACAACCCGACAAAGCTATCGGACAGATTTTTGTTTTCAAGTTTCTGCCGCCATCAAAGCGTTGTGCCCAATATAAGCTCTACGGCAGCGTCTGACATTTATTTAATCTATAGCCTCCCAAAGCTGCAGTCAAAGGAGTGCTTATTAAAATCTGCTGTTTGCTGCTCGGCCTGACATGATGACAAATCACACAGCAGCACTTTCAACTGTTCCCTTCTGTCAACAATGACCCGTCCAATCGAAAGAGAGGACGAATGGAAAAAAAAAAAAGGAGTAGAGGGAATGTTAAATATGAGAGAGAGAGAGAGAGAGAGAGAGAGAGAGAGAGAGAGAGAGAGAGAGAGAGAGAGAGAGAGAGAGAGAGAGAGAGAGAGAGAGAGCAAGTGCCTCTTTTTACAAATAGGGTACAAAATAGGGTTTGAAAGTCTTTAAAAAAGTCAGGCATCCAGGAAAAGCTTTAGGGTTTGAGGGTTTGTTGATATCAACATTACAAGATCATACTATACTTAATATTAAGTGAGCTATATTATTTTCTATTTATTTATTGTATACAACGTTTCCAATTTTATCAACCTTGTTACCAAATATGTAAGTTTAAAACCCTAATTTGGGAGATTTGGACATGTTATGAAATGTTTTAAAAAATCTATAAACATGGAAATTAAAATAAAATTATATATACTATATGTCACTTCTTGGGTGCCATTTTAAGTAGTGTTTTTTTTTTTTTTTTTTTTTTTTTTGGCAATTGGATGAATAAGAGATTAACCACCAACAAAAAGATACTGCAGGATAAATGTACGGATTGCGACTAAATAAAAAAAAAAGTCCATGGTTAATTGGGAATGGACTGATTTAGACAGACAGACAGACAGACAGACAGACAGCAGACAGACAGACAGACAGACAGCAGACAGACAGACAGACAGACAGACAGACAGACAGACAGACAGACAGACAGCAGACAGACAGACAGACAGACAGACAGACAGACAGACAGACAGCAGACAGACAGACAGACAGACAGACAGACAGACAGACAGACAGACAGACAGACAGACAGACAGACAGACAGACAGACAGACAGACAGACAGACAGACAGACAGATAGATAGATAGATAGATAGATAGATAGATAGATAGATAGATAGATAGATAGATAGATAGATAGATAGATCTACACATGATGTGTATTTTATGTTTGGGGTTAATAAATAAATTAATAATTTTACTCCACTTTCTATTAATCTAAACATCCTGAAAAAAAAGTCACGGTTTACAGTCATTATAAATTGTAATAATATTTCACTATTTTTTTTTTTCTATATTTTATATATTTTCATCAAATAACTGCAGCCTTTCAAAAACATAAAAAAATGAATAAAATAAAAATAAAAAATCTTACCAACCACAAACATTAGAAGATGGTTAGAAAATTAGAAGAAATATTTTAGTGTCAAATTTAAAGATAGATAGATAGATCGATCGATCGTTAGATAGATAGATAGATAGATAGATAGATAGATAGATAGATAGATAGATAGATAGATAGATAGATAGATAGATAGATAGATAGATAGATAGATAGATAGATAGATAGATAGATAGATAGATAGATAGATAGATAGATAGATAGATAGATAGATAGATAGATAGATAGATAGATAGATAGATAGATAGATAAAAATCATGGAACACTATTTGTCATTTCACTTATTCATTGTATCAGATATCAGAGACCATCCCAAATCTGCAAGGCAGACTTATTGGAGAGTCAGTTGCTCTGTACAGGAAATCAAAGAAAAAAAAAGAAGGAGTGAAGAGGAAATAAAAGAAGTGCTTTGAGCATACACACACACACACACACACACACACCTGGGCACTTCTTGTCATTGCAGGAGCGCACTTCCTCTCCGGAGCCATCGCAAGGGTAACCCTGGATTCCCGTGCCTTCACACATACGGAACCGGCGCTGCCAACCGGAGTCGCAGGTTTTGGAGCACAAGCTCCAGTGATTCCAGGCACCCCAGTTCCCTCCACCTGCACAGGACCAAGCAAACAAAGGACACCTGTGACTCCACATTATGAAAGGAGACGGGTCAATGGCCATCTACACACTGCAGTTTAGATATACTAGACTGGAACACAGTGAACACAGACATGCAGAGTGAAACAACGACTCAGAAGTGAAGTCACAACCATAAATAGCTACAGTATGACAACACATTCTCACCCCTTTGACCATGCTTCAATATTTGACGTTTTAGGCGCCCTTTAGCGTCACTTACATGATGCGATCCTACGGCGTCATATAACTGACGCTAAAGGAAAGCGTCTGTTAGAGGACGCAGTTAGGTTTAGGTATGGGGTGGGGGTAGGGTACACGCGATCCTAGGGCGTCATCTTACTGACGCTAAAGGGTGCCTAAAGCGTCAGCTATTGAAGCATGTCCAAATGCTTCCCAAGGCGTCAGTTAAGTGACGCCTTGGGGGTGAGAATGGGCTGAGTATGAACATAGTCATAAAGCACCTGCATGAAGCTAATTCCCCCCTAATATCAGGGGTGCTAGCTGGCATATGCTGACACAGCAGCGTGTCTGTGCAACAAGAGCAGTGCAGACCGTTAAGTCTCTGTGGTTTGGTACCACAGACAATTCAGAACGTTCACTGCAATTAATTAGACCATGGCAGCAAACAAATTGCAGCTGTGCAAATACTGTAAACTACCTGTCAATTTAAGAGTGAGCCCACCAGTGAGAAACTTACCTCCGCAAGACGGGTTGGTGCACTCACGAGTTTCGGCATGCGGCCCCTTACACTCCGCCCAGCCATGAACCGACACACTGCAACGCCGTTGCCTCTGCTGAGTGCCCGAGTCACAGGACACGGAGCACTGGGACCAGGCCGCCCAGTCCAACCACTGACCCTCCACTGCAAGAGAGAGGTGTGGAGGTGAGAACGGAATAAGACTGGAGTGGAGGAAGGACAGGGCAGAGAAGGACATAGAAGTGAGGGAAAGAAACAAACAGGAATCGGGCGGTCGGACACAGAGAGAGAGAGACGGGGTACAGCAGGGGTCTGTGTTTGTCTGTAGTATTTGAAATTGTAGCTTGGATAAAATGATGGTTACTTACCCTGATACAAACCTGAGAGATTGATGACAACACACTGAGTTTATTTTTTTTAATGTTAATTAGTGATACAAAAAACCATCAGCACATGTTTTTTTTTTTTTTTTTTTTTTTTTAAGAACTTCTGAAAACTACAGAATTTTGTAGCATTCAGGCTGCATGAAAAGTACAAGTTTCAATCAATCAATTTTTATTTATAAAGCACTTTACAACAACCAGAGTTGATCAAAGCGCTCGACAGAGACAACTTCCCTGTTCAGCCAAGCCTTGAACAGGGAAGTTTGCAAAAAAGTTATTCAAAATTATTTAAGAATTATCTAAAATTAGTACATGAGAACTAATAAAACTTGCTGTTATAGATACACCGTAAAAAAAAATAATAATAATAATAATAAATATATATATATATTTGTCAAGATTTGTTATCACAACATATTTTCTTTTGTCAAATCAACTTTATAATAATTTATTTAGTTGAGATAACTTATTATTTTGAGTTTCTGATGATTAAATTAATCTCCTTCATTGTATTAACTAACTTTTTCCAGTTCAATCAACTTAAAAATTTAAGGCAACCCATGTTACTTACTTTTTTAAGTTAAATCAACAATATTTTTTTTACAGTGTAGTAATCACAACATTTTTTTTTTCTTTTGTCAAATAAACTTAAATAATTTATTTAGTTCAGATAACATATAATTTTGAGTTTCTGATCATTAAATCATTCTCCTTCATTGTATTAACTCAATTTGTTTCCAGTTCAATCAACTTAAAATTTTAAGACAACCAAGGTTACTTACTTTTTAAGTTAAATCAACAATATTTTTTTTTACAGTGTACTAATCACAGCATTTTTTTCTTTTGTCAAATCAACTTAAATAATTTATTTAGTTCAGATAACATATATTTTTGAGTTTCTGAACATTAAATCATTCTCCTTCATTGTATTAACTCAATTTTTCCAGTTCAATGAACTTTAAATTTTAAGACAACCAGGTTACTTACTTTAAGTTAAACCAACAATATTTTTTACAGTGTATATACTCATTTACATCCCAAATGAACGACAGAACGATAGCTAGAACTAGATAGATAGATAGATAGATAGATAGATAGATAGATAGATAGATAGATAGATAGATAGATAGATAGATAGATAGATAGATAGATAGATAGATAGATAGATAGATGAATAGTTCAGCTCTCATCTAGAATTTTATCATTTAGCATAATAAATAAATTATTTTTTTAATAATTTAAATGACAAAATATACAGGGTGGGTGGGTGGAGGTCCCTAATACAATCTGCAATAGCCTTCAAATACCATTCACTATAATCCAAAAAAAAAAAAAATGTGATTGATTCCTACATATAGTTTCAGTTACCAGGTCACATCAGAAATGACATCATAAATTTCATTCACTCATTTATTTCTAGCCGCTATTTCAATTTTAAATCCTATACTGAAAAATGCTTTTTAAGATCACCTCTTCATCAGTGAACATTAAATTACAATGCGTGCTATTAGAACAAACCCTGACCTGCACATTAAAGGTGACAAATTATTTATTCTTCAGAATTGTAGTCTAATGGGTTTCGGAGAAGACCAGTAATTTACTTTAATTAATTAAAGAGAGATGGCCCACTGAGACACATCTTAAAGCTCATGAAGTTAAATGGAGGGTTTGATAACATTAGTGCAGATATTTATGAGAAACCGCACTCTGATGATAACAATTTATTTCAGTTTGACTGATGCATATTGCAAATGTTTCAGCCTTTAATTTCTCACAGGGAAAAAAGTTGAGTAAAAAATCATTATTCCACTGATTACTATTAATTGTTATTCAGTGACTAAAAAAGCACAATTATTTTACATAATTTCCACATTGACCGTGGATATCAATAGAGTTCTGTCCATGTTCATATCGGCCCTCTCTCTGACCAGCAACTACAAAAAAAGTGACTATTTCTTGCTTGATTAATGAGATTTGTGGTGAAGTTCTATGTGAATAAATAATAATACATTTGAGGGGAGGAGCATGTCCCTTCAGCTCCCTTTGAGTCCCAGAGTTCAGAGTCCCTTTGTGGATACCAATCCTTTATGAATTTGCAAGTGTCTAATGGGTGGATGAAACAACATGGCTTTTAAATGTTTCACTTCAAGTATCCCAAGATCCTTTGCAAAACATTAGAAGGTCTACATGCCTCGATGGACACATATTCGTTATGTTCGAAAGTAAGAATTATGCTTAAACATCATCCATCAAATGATGGCATTAATCTTGCGCCTTTATGTTTATATAATGAATGCTTTCTAGTATGCACTATCTATTTCACAGTAGGGGGGATGTCACGTCTTTTGACTTTCTGCAGCAATTTCAGGATCTGTGCATATTAACCTCTAATATCACTTTTATCTTATTTAAATGTGTGTGTGTGGGGGGGTGGGGGGGTGGGGGATATTTCATCCAAGTATCTCATTTTGATGGATGATATGAACTGAAATCAAATTATCTCTCAATCTAATGGGTTCCAAGGAAGACAGAGCACATGATGCCTCTGTCAACTTTGCTCCGTCAAAGCAAATGCTCGACAAACTTAGAAAAATGTACAGTATAACTTTACTTCAAAGCAGCCTCAAGAGCAGGACCTAAAAATAGTTCCAAAGGGATTGGTGTAGTACAAATAGACAGACGAGTATACATACAGATATACTACAGACACATAAACACACACCCACATACCTGAATATTATTATAAAGTGTCAAAAAACACAATATTTGTTTAATATTTGTATAAAAATGAAATAAATCAACCATATGGCTGAATATTACCACCCGTTAATCTGCACATTTCCACCCACGGCGCCGCCATTTTGTTTTCACAATTGACAATAGTGTAACCAGTTCTAACACAATGGCAAAAGATTGATCTCTCGCTCAGATGTCACCCTTGAGGTATTTTGACCAAAAAAAATGTCACATTTGTCTTATAAAGACCTCAGGGGACTGTGTCAACTTGTGTAAAAGGCAGGTAACACCAGTCCATTTGCATTTAAAGCGATACACACACACCCAAAAAGAAATGGTGTGCACTGATAGAGAAAAAACTTGTTGGAATGACTTTGCGATTTGTAACTTTCCAGACATTTCCCATACTCAAACAGCAACAGTATACACTAAAGACATAAGAAAAAGCATAATATGACCTCTTCAAATGTTGGTATAGCAAAGCAAAATCAGATGCAGCTGCATTCTGTCTGAGCTCATGGAGGATCTGTGTCTCAAAGCAAGTGCATGGTAAATAATAATCATATACTTAAGCCTCACAAACCCAATAAACATGGATAAATGTGGCTTGTCTGTCTACACCTCCATGAGAGTATTGGACTCATCTTCGCTCATAAAACGAGCGGCCAATGAGGAGAGAGATTGCCAGGAGAGACAGCAGCTGCAGCTGAAACCCAACAAACACAGATGAGCATTTATGGCATCTCACTTTTACACCACAAGAACATAAAGGGAAAGTGAGAGAAAAATCCTCTGTATAAATCAGGTAATAACACTGACTTCAGCACATGGATACGTTGAGTATCCCTTATGGCTAGACATAAACATGCATAAACAAACTGATGCATCCGAGCGTCTATGGTTGTAGCTATAGGAATTATTTTCTGACCTCTCCTTTAATGTCTTATTTCTGTTCTATTTGATCTTATTTCTTATGGCTTATACTTTCTCTTAAATATGTTTTAAATTTACATTTATTCATTTAACTGACGCTTTTATCCAAAGCAACTTACAATTGCTATATATGTCAGGGGTTAAGTCCTCAGGGACACATTGGTGTCTCCCAGTGGTTTCGAACCCGGGTCTCTCACACCAAAGGCATGTGTCTTATCCACTGCGCCATCACCACCCCATCAGTTTATGTTATTTTAGGTGAATATAAAATAAATAATCTAAATATTAACTATTACATTTAGGGTTCAGCAAAGTTGTATCACATTGATATTCAGTTTTACATTTTAATCGGAGTCAGTTAGAAAAAAAAAAAAAAGTAGGAACAGCAATCATTTTAATAAATTGATTATTTTTTTATTTTAAAATTAATATTTTTTTACAGTTTTCTATTTGAATGTTTTCTATTTTAATATTTTAAAATGCAATTTGATCCTTCACAAATCATAATAATATGCTGATTTGCTGATCTAGAAACTATTATTATCAATGTTGAATCAATGTATTTATCTGAAATATAAATCTTGTAACATTACACATGCATTTCCAATAAATAAATAAATCCTTACTGACCCCAAACTTTTGAACGGTAGTGTATAATGTTACAAAATAACTTTGTTATTTTTTATCAAAATGTTGAACTTTATATTTATCGATTAAAAAAAAAATACAAATAAAATTATCGATGATAATAATAAATGTTTCCATAATTATTATTCTTAAGAATAATAATAATAATAAATATTATAAAAAAATATATATATACTTTCAGATTTCTGAAAGATTTTCTTTCTTTGATTTTCTTTTTTTTTCTTCAGGACAAACTTTTAATAAAAAACAAGTCATCTGAGAAAACAACTTCCTATAAGCAAAACATTTAGAAACGCTTTAATTAAACACAATTTTAATGAGGACAATCAGCAAATGCTACTTCAAAATAAACCAACTATCCCCTTACAAGACTTCTATACCATCTCTATAACACAGTACCATCTCTTTCCACATAAGCAAACATTAATTAAGTGGAGTAAACTACCAAAAAAAAAAAACGTCCCACGTATACGCTGAAATTGAAATTGCTCACACTTTGATCACTGAGAGCAAACCATCACTGTAATCATAGACTGCAAGCAGAGCTGAAGTAATGCAGGAGAAAACACACCGATGTTTACGAGACATCCATTTAGATTCACAACAGCCTACCATCCTTTACAGTGACCCAGGACAAGTTATATTACATTGACTTATCCTGCGTTGACTTAAATTGTATCAGTGGATTACACGTCATTCGACACCCATGAACGCAATTGAATATTAAGAGGGTGAAATGTATTTTACACATGGATGCCTCTTGGTAGATGATAACAGGTGGAAGATCTGCTCTCTGACAGGCTGTAATCACTGTCAGTCAAAAGCGTTCGGCAGGACTGGCCCAGCTGTTCATTTGTGCCTCCTCAAATAAAAGACAATCACAGTGATTGGCTGTCACCCTTAACTCTTCAACTGTCAGACTAATGGAGGTCTTCCACTCCAGGTAGGAACAACTGTTCAAACTGAAAATGAATTGAAATGTAACAGACAAATGATTTATTGCTCATCTCATTGGGGTAATAACTAATTTTCGAGACGGATCCTGTTCGCCAAGACCGGAGTGGTGCCGAAGAAGAAACAACAAACCCCAGCAGGTGCGGACACGTGTGATTGGATCATGTAGAATTCCCATTAGCTTGAGCCGAGCCCCCATTTGAGTAGCACTTTGGCATAATTCTGGAGACTGGCATAATGAATGAATGAAATCCAGAGGAAACTATGAGGAGTGGCTGCAGAGAGAGAAAGCATACGACACAGAGCTCGAGCGCCCTTCACACAGGAGTGGTGAGGGAGACCGATGTGAAACAAGCAGCTCGAGGCAGTGGGGATGGCACACAGGAAGGAAAGGGAAAGGTCACACAGAAAAAGACATGTGAATCGAGAGACAAGAGAGGAGAATATACACAACACTGAAAAGGGGTAAAGAATAGGGAAGTCAAGAAGATAGAACACACCGGGTCTCATTCTCTAACTGTGTAAATGCAACATTTTATGCATTAAACTTGTTATGATTCACCATTTTTTTTTTTACTTTACATTATTATTATTATTTTCTTATAATATAATATAAAAATTTAGTAATTAAATGCACAAATGTATTTGTATATAAACATTATTATCATTATTATAGTATATTACAAATAGATGTGTGGATTAAATAACTAAACAAAAAATGCATTACATTTTCCATTAAATCCAATAAATAAAATCAACTCAAACCACTCAACATTTCATAATAATCGTAATAATAAATGATTTATAATTACATTATTTATAATAATGTATACAAACAACAAAACTGTTATAAGTATTTCTTATTATTATTTTATATTAAACTTTCTTAAAAAAATCTAGTTTAAATGATCTTTAAACTATTATTAACTAATACAAACAACATGCATTATATTTCGATCTATAGGGATTTTGCATGCAAACCTTTCCTGCACACGTACAATAATAAGAACACATACGCAATTACTGGTAAATGAGACCCACTTTGATAAGAATGCACTTTAGAGTTGAAGTAGAGAAAAGAGAGAGAATATTGGCAGATGAGGAAATGGAGATTAGTACTAACCAGGGCACACAGCTATATTGCAGAGTTTGGTTTGCACCTCGGGCCCTCCACAGGCCTCGTTTCCGTGCTCGGGGAGCACACAGATCCTGCTCCGGGTCCGAGAGCCTCGGCCACACGTGACTGAGCACAAGCTCCAGGAAGACCACTCCTCCCACAGCCCATGCACTGCAAACACCAACAAAACCACCAATGGGGATGAGGGAACATGAAGGGAGGTGGGCCGAAGGGTCCCACAGAGGCGAAACCCCGCCCACCTGAAGGATAAAACCCGGGAATGCCACCAACATGAGCCTCAACCGTCAGAGAGGAAGCCTTCAGATCAAGGGTTAAGGGCAGAGAAGGAAATGAAAATGAAACAGCATGTACAACATGAATGAGATGTCACTTATCTTGTTAGGCATACTTGATCTTGTTAGAGCAAAAAATAGATGAAATGCACCGTTTGATCATGAAACGTGTCCAATTGATTGTGTTCCTGCAGGGAGTGTTTCAATAAAGTTGTGTCCTTCAAGAATTCTTTGACTACTGAAGAAAAATATATATATGCGATATTGGTAACACTTTATTTGAAGGGATGTGCATAAGACTGACATGACACTGTCATAAACATGACATAACACCTGTCATGAACATGAAGGAGTCTTTATGAAGGTTTATGACTGTTGTCATTGAGTGTCATTGGGTAAATGACATGTTTAATGCAGTTGACATTGTTTAAAATGTTGTTGTTATGACAACTTCACATTAACCAAAAAATTATAACCCGTCACAAATATGTCATGACAGGTCTAATTATCAAACTTAAAGAAGTTATTTAGCTTTGTGTTAACATTACATTACCCTGGTCATATGGTATGGTTGGTTTTAACTTTGGTTGTCATGACACCATTATAACTGACATGAATATTTTACTTGTCCTCAAGTATAGTAGAACACATTGTACTAGTTATAAAGATGTCATTAAGGGTTACTACACTGTCAAATTGTCAAATGCTTCAAGTAAAACCTCAAGTAAAGTGGAACACATTGGACTAGTTATGATTTCTTTGTTAATGTTAAGTTGTCATAATCAAGACATTTTTGTCTTGGTTAATGTCAAGTTGTCATAACAAAGACATTTTAAACAATGTCAACTTTGCAATAAAAGTGTCATAATTTACCGAATGACACTTAATGACAACTGTCATAAACATTCATGAAGACTCCTTCATGTTCATGACAGGTGTTATGTCATGTTTATGACAGTGTCATGTCAGTCTTATGCACACCCCTTCAAATAAAGTGTTACCGCGATATGTATTTTGTTTAGAAACATTGAATAAGTATTCAGTAAATGTATTCTTCAACGCTTTTTAATAGACGTCATATTGGAGAATTATGTAGCCTACTGTGTGAAACAGTTTTTGCATTGTGAATAATCCTCAGTGATGCAAACAAAGGCAGCTTATTCGGTTAATAGTTAGTAAGTATTGGAACGGAATGTATGACTTTGGGCTTGATGAGATGTTATGGGTGAGGGTGTGAATGAACTTTGATAAACCCCTGCAGTGCGACAACGGTTAAAACAACCACAGAACAGCCGAGATGAATCCAACAGATCTTTGAATGTGGAAGAGCGGACATCTTTACTAAACCAACAAGGAAGTCAACAATTGATTCTCTGTGTTGCCAACGAAAGAGGGAGGACGTGGATCTTGAGGTGTGGAGAGACAGTGAAATCACAAGATAAGATGTAAATATAAGACCATATGAAAAACAGAAGAGCGGGAGAGGTTGAAAAGAGTGACTCGGCTGAGGACAAAAAGAAAAACGGATCCTGACAGGGGATGGAAGGCAAGAGAATTGGCCAGGATTTGAGGAAAGGGGGGAAAGAAAGAGTAAGTAAAAGAGACAGAAAAGGAGGTTTTGGAGGGGGCTATTAGAAAGAGCGAGGGAGAGATTGTAAGGCCTCCTCAGTGTAGAGCAGGGATGTACTGTGAATTATGCATGCTGATAAATAATTGATAACGCTCTGTAGTGCAAAACTCAAAGGAGCCATGGCTCAGCTGCACATACAGCATGCAGAATAAAAAAGCTTGTATGAAGTGAATATGTGTGTGTGGGTGGCCTGGTAAACCCTACATTATGGGGATAATACTAAGTGATGTTTTTTTTAAATGTTAAAATGCAGAAAGCTTTCTTGGTAGGTTTAGGGGTAGGGCTAGTGTGATGGGTTACAATATACAAAATAGTTTGTGTGTGTGTGTGTGTGTGTGTGTGAGTGGATGGATGGATAGAAAGATAGAAAACATAGTTGCACTTGTTGTTCAAAGAACTTGGACACAAAAGCCATCTTCGGCATATCGAACGAGACATTTATGCATGTTTAAGTCTCTAGTTACCTTCAGCCATTTATAAATACGTAAACATGCAAATAATAATCATAGTAAGTGATTAGAGGATGTTTGAAATAACTTTTTTTTTTCTGTGATCCGATGAAGCAGACATATTTTATAGCACTATACAGTAATAAAGGCTATTTCGATTAGCATTGCATTATAAATACCATATACATTCACCGAAATGATTACAGGAACACCAGTTCAATTTCCCATTAATGAAATTATCTAATCAACCAATCACATGGCAGTTGCTTCAATGCATTTAGGGGTGTGGTCCTGGTCAAGACAGTCTCCTGAACTCCAAACTGATTGTCAGAATGGGAAAAATGGCAATTTTGAGTGTGGCATGGTTGTTGGTGCCAGAGGGGTATTTCAAAATCTGCTTAGTTACTGGGATTTTCACGCACAACCATTTCTAGGGTTTAAAAGAATGGTGTGAAAAGAGAAAAAATATCCAGTATGTGGCAGTCCGGTGGGCGAAAATGCCTTGTTGATGCTAGAGGTCAGAGGAGAATGGGCCGACTGATTCAAGCTGATAGAAGAGCAACTTTGACTGAAATAACCACTCGTTACAACCGAGGTATTCATCAAAGCATTTGTGAAGCCACAACACGCACAACCTTGAGGCGGATGGGCTACAACAGCAGTACCACTCATCTCCACTACAAAAAGGAAAAAGAGGCTACAATTTACAATTTGCAATTGGATTAAACAGAATGAGAACATGGATCCATCATGCCTTGTTACTACTGTGCAGGCTGGTGGTGGTGTAATGGTGTGGGGGATGTTTTCTTGGATGTGCATCCCACAAATTTCCATCAACTGCAAGATCCTATCCTATCAATATGGACCAACATTTCTAAAGAATGCTTTCAGCACCTTGTTGAACCAATGCCACGTAGAATTAAGGCAGTTCTGAAGGCGAAAGGGGGTCAAACACAGTATTAGTATGGTGTTCCTAATAATCCTTTAGGCGAGTATATACTGTATACATATATATACACATATACATTATATATATATATGAAGAGTACAGATGCAAAAGCCTCTAAGTGCCATTTGAAATTTTCTTCTAGAATGATAATTTTTATCAAGCTTGTATATTTAAGTTCAGTGATTTCACTTAAATAGCAATGATAATTACCTATTAATTGTTATTTAAGTGAAATTACTGAACTTAAATATACAAGTTTGATAAAAATCATCATTAAAGAAGAAAATTTCAAATTGCATTTAGAGGCTTTTACATCTGAACTCTTCATATATATATATATATATATATATATATATATATATATATATAAACATTATATATATATATATTATATATATATATATATATATACACATTATATATATATATATATACTGTATATACTGTATATATATATATATATATATATATAGAGCCCATTCTCACTCCCAAGGCGTCACCTAACTGACGCCTTGGGAAGCATTTGGACATGCTTCAATATCTGACGCTTTAGGCGCCCTTTAGCGTCAGTTAGATGACGCCGTAGGATCGCGTGTACCCTACCCCCACCCCATACCTAAACCTAACCTCGTCCTCTAACTGACGCTTTCCTTTAGCATCAGTTAGATGACGCCGTAGGATCGCGTCATGTAAGTGACGCTAAAGGGCGCCTATTACGTCAAATATTGAAGCATGGTCAAAGGTGACGCCTTGGGGTGAGAATGTGTTGATATATATATATATATATATATATATATATATATATATATATATATATATATATATATATATATACTGTATATATACTAAAGGGCTCATATTTCACATTAATAGCTTGAATTCAATTATTTTGAGTCATGAAGGCATGAATATCAATTTTGCATATATCCGTAAAAAAAAAAAAAAAAGAAGAATTTGCTGTCACTATAAGACTATTATAATAAAAAAAGAGGAAAAACTGAATATCAAGACTTTGATCTTTGTAAGGATGTATCCTATTGTTTGCCAAGATTAAATAAAGGCATTTATTTCATTATGCTTCAAATAAAATAATAATAGAAAAATGAACTATAATGTGATTTTGGAAGAAAAAATATCGACAAATGTGAAGCACTGATTTACGATCACTACAGCAGTTTCATTGGTCTTATTTGCTACTTTGCTTACTTGTGTCGAGTTACAATGGGTCACAGAAACTGTGTTGTATGACAGTGCTAACTTTAAAAATGGCAAAATGGAATTAGAGGCACTAATTATGATAAATGAGAGCTATAGTGGAGATGACATATATCATGTATCAAGTTACTGTATATGGCTTCACCATACTTCAAAAAGTGCTATTGTTGGAGCTTGACAGCCTTTAGAAAGAAAATAAGATTTGGATGATTTTCTATTCTTGAAAAAGAAAGTCTATTCTTGCCGTGACTTCCAAACATGCTGGTAGTTTTGGCCTGATCAGATGCTGTAAAGGCTGAGATGCGAGCGTAGGATAACAGCACTGATTTTGTGTGGCATGGGGAGAGGCTGAATACTAGGCTGATCTGCCCGCAGTGCTCATTGCCTCTATAGACCACATTATGTACTGCAGTATCCATCAAATCACTGTCTGTGTGGATTCATGCAGAGACCCAGAGCCCGTCTATTCGCTCCCCACAGGGGGTGTCAATTCCTCCTACGACGGAGGAAGAGAGGGAGAAATGTAAAAACAGGTACTGACCACCAGACCACATACTCAGGGTTAAAAAAAAGCAAACAATGTTAATGTTGAAAGGTAGAGAAGGAGTCTAGACAGAGAGAAATAAATAAACAGG